TGAACAAGTAGAAATAGAATATTTAAATACTAAAAAGCTCTAATAAATCTAATTGAACTCTGCATTTCTAAATGAAATTCAGTATGAATATTAGTTCATGCCGAACCAGAAATATTTGTACATTATGTTCACTATACCAATTCAGAGAAGTTTACTATAACAGTATATCACTAAGATTAATAAAATATCAACATTAAAAAAAACAATAATACTAAATCACACCAATGGTTCAATACATATATTTTTTATAGCAATTTTGTTAGAGGGTTTTTTGGGATGCTAAACATTTTTGATTAGAACACCAAATGCTAATTATATATTTAGCTAAGTTAGCTAAGTTTTAAAATACTGCAACTGTGGTATTGGACGCCACTAGTGTGTTAGTAAAGTCATTAAAAAATACATTTTAATGGTTTTATTCGCTAAACATATAATTGTATGATAGTACGCAATTAATAATTTTTATAAAATAACTTGACACATTTCTTTTTTCTCAAAGCAGTGTAACCAGTGTTGGCAATTAGGCGAATTTTGACATAAAATTTTATGTCCATATGCCCATATCCAAATAAAAATGTTATAATTTTATATGTCCATATGCCCATATCCAAATAAAAATTTTATAAAAGAAAAAATAAATCAAATTTTCAAGATTTGTTTAATTTAAAACCAGCTTTCAAATGTGGTTATATACTTGCAATTATATTAGTAATTATATAGATATAATAGGTGCAGTAACCCTATTGATTACAATATATCTAATCAAAAAATATCAAAGTTCTATAAAGGTAATTTATTTTCTTCTTCTAATTCACTAAATTCTTTTGACCACTCTCTAACCAAGGCAGTATATTTCTCAATAACTTCTCTTTGTTGTGCTATATTTTGATGTAATCCAATGATTTCCTTTAATATCAAATAATATTAATTTGAAAAACAATTGTTAAAATAATTTTAAGATTTAATCGGTTTGACTATGTTATAAAATGAAATTACATCTTGTAAAGCAATTTTTTCCTGTTGTTTTTCTGACTGAATGATCTTTGATAGGGCTGTTTCCAATTTTTTAGCTATTTGTAAAAATCTGAGGAGACGAACTTTCTTCGCTTTGTTTTTGTAATAAATGAATAAATATATAATTAAAAATCTTTTAAATTATCCAAATGATATTTAGTTGAAAATTACCCTGTGATTCATCTTGAGAACTAGATTTCACGGTATTATCTAAGCCATTTGGCACGAATTGTTTTAGACATTCGTCAAACTCGGTGTTTAACTGGTTCAAAAGAGATTGCAATGAATCGTCAAGGGGTGAAGTAAAAGACATGGCAACATTCATAAATACAGTATTTATATGTCTTTAAATATTACATTGTGATATTGTACTACTCATACAATCAGATAATCAGGATCTGCATAAAAATTTTTATTACTGTATCGGTATTTAATGAGAATGTACGTACGTACGTACGTAACGATTTTGAATATATACGTATAAGAAAATTTTATTAGCCACTCAAAATCATTTGATTTTCTTGAATCAAAAATGTGTATTAGAATAAATTTAAAATCGAATAAATAGTTAATAATTCTTGATGAGTTCAAGCCTCATTCATTCTTCAAGGTCACTTGAAGAATTATCATCATCGTCTTGTACATCTTTTATACGATTTGTATTCACGAAAATTTGGTCATCTGAATCATTCCCGGAAGACCTTAACAGTAATTTAAATAGTTTTATGTAAGAATTTCAACAAAAGGAAATGAAAAAAAAATCTTTTACCTTGTTTGATCGGGAATTTTCTCTTGACTTTCAAATTCTTTAGGCCTATGATATAATTGTTTAATTATGGTCATTTGATTACGTTATCGTGATTTTATAATAAAAGAACGAATTGTTCCTAACCATATGCCTTCTGACTTTAAATGTTTTACGTGTTCTGGAAACAATACATGGACAATTTCTCCACCTATCTTAATTTTATCGGATTCTGAAGGTTCTATAATAACATAACTTCCTGGCAAAAGAAACAAATATTAAAAGGATAATCTTTATATATTAGAATTGGTAATTGAATTAAATATATACCACGCTTCACCCAAACTAGGCTTCGAAATTTCGGTGGTAAGATGCACAAGGTAATGGTACCATCACAATATTGGACTTCGTGAAGATTTTTACCACGACCACCTAAAACACGAGCTATTTTTTGTGTTTTTGTCGGAATTAGATTTGACGTAAGAATTTGATTTGTTGTTTTTTGTTTTCTACCCATTGATATCACTACGAGAAAAAATTCTGATAAATCTTGTTTTAGCATGTACAACAAAGTAACGTAGATCATACTAAATCAGATTTTACACAAACATAAATGAAATTCAATGATTCACTTACCCATCAAATTTTCGCGTCTAGTTCGTACGATTATTACAAAAATTCCTACAATTTTATTATTCACTTATATATGGCACCATCTCACAAATTTTTAACAGACCTTTCCGACGACATGGCTGAATTATTAAATACAGGTGCTGGTTACGACGTTGTAATTCAAGTCGGGGAAGAACCGAATGTTAAAGAATTCAGAACTCATTCAGTAATGCTAGCAGCAAGGCGTCCATATTTTCAAACTGCACTGTCAAGTAAATGGGCTAAAAAACAAGGCGATATTTTTGTATTTCGCAAGCCAAATATTTCTCCAAGAATCTTTAAGGAAATCTTGCAGTGAGGATAATTTTTTCTTGTTGCATTTCTTGAATTCTTAAAAATTGTTTTCGACAATTCTGACATATATATATTCTAAATTTTACAGATATTTATACACTGGGACAATAGATTTGGCACAACAAGATGGCACTGACTTAATAAAAATTCTTGTGGCTGCCGACGAATTGGGCCTTCAGAAAATTGTAGAAATAATAAAACAATACTTAATCGATAATCAATCCGAACTTTTAATTAGAAATCCCATCCGGTTCGTCCAATCTGTATTCCTTTACGACATATGCGCTTCCTTAAGAGATTATTGTCTGCAAGCAATTTGTGAAAATCCTCATATAATTTTTGGTTCGTCCGATTACTTATCGCTTGATAAATCTCTCCTTTTACGACTATTAAAATGCGAACAACTTGAAATGGAAGAAATTGATATATGGCTAAACTTACTTAAATGGGGAATCGCACAAAACTCTTTAGCAATTAAACTTGACGAAAGAAATCCTGCAAAAAATTTGTTACAATGGACCGACAAAGATTTTATTGCATTAAGAGAATCACTAAATGATTTAATTCCACTTATTAGATGGATACATATTTCTTCTGGTGATTTCTTACATAAAGTTCGTCCTTTTAAAAAACTTTTACCACAAACTCTTTATGAGGAAGTTTTAAGTTATCATCTGGATTCTGGAAGTAAACCAAGTTCAATTGAGATTTCACCACGAAAGGGCCCAATCTTTGATTCAGTTTTGATGGACAACCAACATGTTTGTGCATTGGCGAGTTGGATAGATAATGAAAGCGGTTATTATGATAGGACGACAAACCCTTATAACTTTAAATTATTATTGAGGGCTACTAGGGATGGTTTTGATCCTACAACGTTTCATAACTTATGCGATAACAAGGGGGCAACTATCATGGTTTCGAAGCTTTCTTCAACCAGACAATTGATTGGTGGATACAATCCTTTATATTGGTCTCCACTTCCAGAGATTTCTGAAAATTCAAGTATTGCATCGGCTAGTAGTCCTAATAATAATAGTACGAGTGGTGGTAGTTGGTGGAAGACTTCTTCAGGCTTTTTATTTTCTTTTAATGACTTAGATTTCAAAATCGCTCGAGTTCAACGACCACAATATGCCGTTTATTATGACAGAAAATATGGTCCTGGATGGGGATATTCTGGTGACCTGATTATTAAAGATTCTGGTTCAATTTATAATAGTCAGAAGTCGATGACATATCCAGAAGCTTCGAAATTTTTCCCATATACGACCTCGTCAGAATATGATATTGATGAATATGAAGTTTTTCAAGTTATAAGAAAGCCTGGATTTAGAGAAATTGCTGGAGCAAGATACTATTCTCGTGGGATTATACGAGCATTGAAAAGACAAAATTGGAATTATTTTTTCAAAGTGTTAATTATGGTAATGTTTATGTTGCTTATTGGATGGATGATTATTAAATATGAGATTTATTGGAAACTTAACGTTATTGCGAAATGGTTTATTATACATTTGTATAAATCAGTGAATAAGTACACAAAAAAAATTGTAATTATATTAAATCGGTATAGAAATTAGTCAAATTGGAGATAGAATTATTTATTCACATGTATAAAAAGCAATAAAATAAATTAGCAATAACGTTTGGCATTTATTATCTTTACTCGAATTTATCCTTTAGCAATTAAATAATTTGTTAGCTTTTGAGATATAGCAACTGTGGTATTAGCACTGTCAGTGTGATTTAATAAAGCCATTTATATATTATACGTAACATTTTGGCAAAAATAAATTACAACTATCCCTTAAACTGTAGACTTTTCCAGGCAAATTTGCCTGGAAAATTATCATAAATATGGTTATAATCTATTTTTTTTAAATTTTAATATATTTAAATAAATTTTTTTTTGATAATA